ATCAAACGTGTATTTTGCGGGGGGTGGAAAGAGACATATATATAGTTTGCTTTTCTCTCCGTTATCTCTGTTTAAATGAGAAATGCTGGAAAAAAGACAGCGAACACTGAAGAAAAACACTTTATAAACTTATTTTGAGGAGAAAAACTGAAAGCCCTGAATAATACTAGTACTGTTTGATAATATTGTGTGAGCTTAAAAATCCCTTTTTCAAATGTATCTCTCAAAATATGTAAAGGGTGTTTTGTTTTTTTTCTCCTTACAAAAGCATATGATGCAAATAAATAAAAGTGTAAACCTCTTAATTGGTAAACCTGTTGCTGGTCTATAGAAAGGACAATTTAAAATATATTTAAAATATTCTAGAACTTACAAGGCACCAATGGTAGGGAATCAAGTTTCACATAAATTTGCTCTGCTTGAAGAAACAGGTCTAGGCTTACTTGAGCTTTGTCTCTCCTAATAAAGCTTAAGTCTGTGAAAATATAGCAATCCTGGAATATACTGAAAGGTAAAAAAATTCACTGTGCTGTACCAGTTAAGCAAAACAAAATGTTTCCTGTATTACCTTGGAAGAAGCAGCAGCACACCTATACTGCTAAGAAGTGGAAGAAACGCTGAAGGAAAGCTGAGCCTTTTATCCAGCTTCTTTCTTCTGAGCTCAGTACTCCAGCTGGTTCTAAGCATCATTACCCACTGATGGGGCTTAATCAGATGCAAACCATACTGTTTTCATAATTAAGAGCAAGAAAGAGAAGGTGATTTTTAAAAACAGTTATTAAAGGGGGAAAAAAAAAAGAAAAAACACATCACTGGATATAACACCTTAGCAAAGTGTTCTTTGTTATTTCCTTTTGTCCAAGGAGCAGGGGATTGAAGAAAGGTACAACAAACGTTTTGTGAACAAATTTAACAAATATAAAAGGATTTGTCCCTGGCAAGTTCAACTAACCAGAGTAATGGTGGTTAGGGACACACAAAGTGATTTACATAGCCTTTCAATGCTTTCATTTTGCTGCAACTTAAAAAAAAAAAAAAAAAAAAAAATTAATTGGCTAGCACCATCCCTTAATTCATTGTTACCATTTCTAAGTACTACTAAAGAGTTACCATGACAGGGAAAACTACAGGTACTTCAAACATTTTGTGTGCTTTTCCAGTAATTAATATTCTTTGGACTCTGTTTATTTAATTAAAAAAGCACAGTTTCTGTGTGCTTAAGAGTAAAGGGGATACTTAGATTCATGAGACACACAGCTGGCTGCTTTTGAGGAGTCCAGGTTACCAGGTCTAGGAGTTGAGACTGGCTTCTCACTGAAGCTCTTCTGCCAAGTCCTAAATGAATCCAGATTGCTTTCCTGCCTGTGGCAAAAAATGTCTTCCCTGTGTAAAACTTGAGTAAAACTCACAAATATCACCAAGCTGTTTTGATATATCACCTGTGGTTGAATACAGCATCTGCAAGGCACCTTGACTACTACACTCAGTGAGCAAAATGTTACTCAAAGACCTTTCATATAGGACCAACAAACCTATTCAGAATGTTTTCTGATGCAGGAGGTAAGAGCCCTTTCCACTAGCTTTTTTTACTATACCCTGGCTTCAGGATGAAGCTAGGACCAGGTGATAATATTGTAAATGTTGTTGTTCCAGGTACCCTGAACAGTGTCATGCTTTAGCATGATTGAAAAAAACACCAAACGAGCAGTTGTTGTTGAAGCTGTGCATAATATTTCTAGGTATCCAGTTATGTCAGTTTTGGTACTTGTATTTTTGCTTAAGCAAGCTATTCAATATGGGGATATTATTGAAGAACTGCAAACTCTTTTGGTTTTGACTGTGTCAAGCATTATGCTTCCTTTGTGAGAACAGCCTTCTATTTCTTATTTAACCAAACTGTGGTGAAGTCAGTTAAAAGTGGGAGGCAGACGTAGTTTCTTGGCTGGCCTATGGGATAGGAAACTGCTGCTGTTTTCCACTTGGGCCAGAACTGCCCCAATAGCATGTACATACCTGGGAATTCCTACCAAGTGGCTTCTTTTCAAAATATTTTACTGAAACTCGGTACTTGATATTCAATATATAACAATGGTATTAAATATTAACATTTTATTTCAAAGGTGTCCTTGAATGGCCATTTTGGACAAAACTCGTTGTGGTAGCCATTGGATTCACGGGGGGCCTGGTCTTCATGTACGTGCAGTGTAAGGTTTATGTTCAGCTGTGGCGCAGGTTGAAAGCCTACAACAGAGTGATCTTTGTTCAGAACTGCCCAGACACCGCCAAAAAACTGGAGAACTCTTCGTGCACTCAGGCCTCGGACGTCAAGGATGCAGTGGTGGTGCCAGTAGCACAGACAGGTACAAACTCTCAGCCGGCAGCTGAAGAAACAACATCTGAGGTCATGCCAGTTTGACGGAGACAGCATTGTTTCTTCCTTGCAGAATAAGGCGTAGTGTTTTCTACACTACAAATCCTAAAAGAGAGTAGAAATGACTGTGCATTTTTTCAGTTTAAAAAAAAAAATCCACACAACAAAAAAAACAAACAAAAAACAAAACCACAAGGAAAATGGATCCAGCAAAGCAACTTGTTACTGTATGGAATGTGACCGTTCGTGAAGTAGTTTCTCAACTAGTCAGCAAGTGTAGTGAAAGTCAAAGTGTAGAAAGTGCGATAGAGAACAGGTGTAACAGACAATGCCAAACCAATGTGACAAGAGTACTTTTTTTTTTTTTTTAAATTGGATGGCTGGAAAAGTAGAAACAGTCCTGATACAATAATTTTGTTTACAGATAACAAAAACCTTTCATGTTTACTACTCAAAGTTGTATTTGCTATTTATCTTCTTAAAGATACTTTTCAAAAGGGTACCGATCCAGTTACGTGCATTAACTGAATCAAAGTACAGAGAGCTGTATGACAGCGCTCACTCTCTAAACCTCATATGCTAACACACGTCCATATGGCTGCCGTGGAGCCTGAATGTTTGGGAAGCTGTTTCAACGAAGGATATTTGAAACATTTGAAGGGTAGCATTGTTTTTAAATATGCCTAAATTTAGCAATTCCAACCAGTATAAACTCATGTCTCCATAAGCTACAGATATTTTTGTTACATATAGCTGTCAGCAAAATAAATGTACAGGAAGGAAAGAAGGTGTAGATACATATTTAGAAGAGCATCTCAGCTGGTTTTTTTACTTTGTAAGAGTGAAATAGACATAAATTGGACACACAAAGTTTTGAGGCAGAACTTGAAAATTAAAAAATGCAGTTTATTGCAGAATCACACAAAAGTAAATTGCATATTATCAACGGTCTGAAAAAAGATGACACACAGAGAAGATGGAAGCCATTTCTTTGTTTTATTTTTTAGGATTCATGATACAGAAAGGTAGATGTAAGAGACTATACGTATCTTAAGAGAGCATTAGTTTTTATCTCCTTGTTCTGAAAAGTTAGTTTTTATCTTCCTGACTCAAAAAAGAAATCCATGGTTTCCCTCTGTACAGGTAAAATTGAGGTGTTAACAATTCAACAGTTCAGTTGTTAACTTTGTGTTTTGAGCATTCTCATATAAAAATGAAGTGTGAATAGCATTAAAAGGCGCAATAGATAAATGAATGTAGATATAATACTGTGTCCAGCAGGGTGAATTATATATAAAGAACCAATTTAGTGATTCACTTCTCATACCTGTGATGTTCACCATCAGGACATAACAGCAAGTATTAACTTGGTGTAGTTATCTACTGGCATGGACAAGTCTGGGGCGTGAACGTAATGTGTATTTAAAATAAAAGGTGAAAGTCCTTTTTTAATCTTGTATTTAGGTAAAGGAGGAAAAGCAAACAAGCAAATAAAGAACCAGAGTAAAGAGGAGAGCATAGGCTCATTCAGAATTACAAGTGAACTAGACTTTTACAGAAGCCTTGCAGTTTCTAATGGTAAATTTCCTCTTTACACACTCAACTATCTTTTACCAAGTATCGATTAAATAACAGAATCATCCCATTCTTGCAAATATCCAGGGTGCTGGGCCTAAGATGTATTGGAGTTTATATATTAGGCATTCCTTTGTGATTGCATTTACTGGCTTGAGGCTCAGGGAATACTGGAAGTAGCAGTATTAGAGAAGAAATGTGTCTTTTATCAGACCATTATGTTCTTTTGTATCAGAATTGCTCATGTAATTTGGTTGTGACTACGTGACTGCCGTCTGGCTAGAGAGGACACAAAATCTTGGTGCCTGAACAGGCCCTAAATACAGATTAATATTTACTAGAAGTTACTGCAGGGGAGTTGGATTCATGTTTAAGTTTTTTCACATAATGACAAGCACATTTCATATAAAATAACTTTCCAATTATACAATTGCAAATTGGAATTGTAGCAGCTTCTAATTTGAAATGACATATGAGAGTAACCAAATAATTTCTCTGTTTATAATTGTGGAGGAGACTTCAGGAGGTCTTCAGAAAATGATGACCGTACTAAGGAATGCATCATAACTGCACATTTTAAGTTAGTCTGCAAAGGCATGGTTTTCAAAAGGTGTAAATATAGTTCTAAAAAGTAAATCTCATGATATCTGAAGTTAGACAAAATTACTAGCAGCATCTAAATGTTTGGAATGATGTTTACAATAAAGCCTGATGAATCATAGCAAAATTGACTTACAAGGAACATTATTATGGAAGATAACTAAGAGCTTTCTGAAATAATCAGAAAGTTTCTTCCTAAGTGACAGTACCCCTGCTTCTTTAGCCACCTTGTTCTTTGACCTGCTGTAGTATCATGACCCCATTGAAAGTACTTTATGCCCTATTTTGACAGTTTACTGGAGACTAATTCACATTTTTTTTCTTGAACAAGTATCAAATTGAACTCAAAAGGAAAAAATACCTGAGGATTCTGAAAGCAGATTACTGTAGATTTTTAAAAATACACTGAAAACTCGGCAACAGAACAGACAACTTGGAAAATTTTATACTAACGTCTTCAAAACACTATTTTGGCACTCATCTCAACTGCATGTGCAACTGAGCTTACGGTTAGTTAAATACAAGAATGGAGAAAAACTTCAGCTGAAATTCCTCCTCTCCTTTTGAAATATTAATTTGGACAGCAGGAAGCGGAGACAGATAATGAGACAAGTCAGCAGCAACAGAGATTACAGCAGGCTTGAGGCAGTCTTTAGCCTTTTAAAGCATTACAGTATTAGCCCGTGCATCCCTTTCTCTTCTTAGGTGCACTGGATATTCTAGAGCTTTCAGGGATTTCCTGCAGGATTGGAATTTGTTTCTGAAGCAGCGTGCAACCTCTTCAAGAGGGCAAGGAGCTATTCACACCAACATGCCTTGGATACAGGTCTGAATGAAAAAGGAAGGTGCACAAATACAGACACTAGGCAGCTGCTTATCAATGTTTTTTCATTCCCACACAAAGCACAATTTTCTGTGTCAATTTAATAACCACAGGATTCTATCCTGCAAAAACAGTATACTGAAAGTTTTAAGATACATTCTAAGACTTTTTAATCAAAATGATCTATCAAAGAAAGATCTATATCAAACTACCTGTGTAGCCACAGTGCATCTCAGGCAAATACGCTAACAGTGGAGTTTAGCTTGGCTAAACCCACGAGGGCAGAGCCTTGCTCTGAGCATACGTTACCAAGAACAGCTTAATCTGCATTCTTGTTTAAGCAAAGTTTTAATTAAGGTAGGTAGAAGTAACCTGGTATCAGATCACATCTGGAACTTTAAACAAGACACTCCTAAGCTGTGAACACACATGTTTCTTTTCTTGTTTTACGTTACAAGCGTTATAAAGTTTATTTCAAACTGGCATAAACATACCACTTTTGACTATCATTAGCATTACAAAGATTCTCCACTAGTCCAACTGTGCCATTCACACACTGCTCTATCTGAAGGCAGTATTTAGTTGTGTAGAAAAAAAAATAGTAATTCCCCATCACCAGAACAAACAGTTTTTCATTTCTAATAATGCAATGAAACTTACTCTATGATGAAAATATTTTACTGTGTATAATATTTGGAACTACAAGTTTGTGTTACTTGTTTAACTCCCTCTCTTTTGCAAAAGAAAAATTGTATGTTTTTGTGGGTGAATGTGTACTGAAAGACAGAAGGTAAGGGAAACAAAAGTAATATATCTGCTTATTGTTGTGAAAAAAATGTATTTGTATTAAACGAATGACCCAAATTACTGTAGTATTCTATAGTTGTCACTTTGTTACACAAAGCATCACATGCTGAATATGAATTGCAAGACCACACCCTTGCAAGAAAGGTGAACATACTCAGCTGCGTACTTAATATTGATAAACCTGATAGCTCAGAGTAGTTAGTTTTGGGTACCACATCTTGTCAGAATGCTCAGGAAAATACCTCACAGTATAAATGCATTTGAAAAGAACTATGGTGGTTTAACTTGAAGAAAGGAAGACTGTGAACAGGCTTCAACTCCATAAAGAACTCCCAGAAGGCAACTGGTTTTACATCCATAGCAAAGAGGGCAACTAGTACTGGGTTTTAACTGCAGGAGGATAAAAGGAAGAAAACTATCGAAGGAGAGCAGTGCTTTGGAAAGAACTTTGTTATATCCGATTGTGGAATGTCCTACACTAGAAAGCTTTAAAGATGGGTTGGACAAACAGTTAAGTGGTTTAAAGCTAATAACCCACCTTATATTTTCAGAATGGATCATGTTCCCTTTTCTGTTATTTTACACTTCTACTTGGTGAGATTTCTGTCCTTTTTTTTAATGAAAAGAAATATTACATTTGCTTTATAAAAGAATATAACTTTAAGTTATGTGTAAAACCAAAGAAAGTATCATGTCTTGATAAATACACAGAATTCCAAGCAAACTACAAATTTAGTTTCCTAAAGAGGTTTGTATCCACCTACCCTGTATCCTTCTCCTAGCTTGTCAGCTGGGGAGGGAGTAGGCTAAGTTTTGAAACCTCACAGTTCTGGCTAGAGTGAGTAAGTCATCATATGGCCGGTAACTGCTAAGAATATACATTCAAAACACCAAAATGTTCTAACAAATTACATCCCCTACATCCAAGGCCAACAGATTGTTCATTTTGTTAAAGCTGCCCTAATTAGCTCACTGTGTAAATCAAAGATGGATTCACAAATCCCTACAAGATATAACAGAAGAAACAGCTTAGCCAAAGAAATTCTAGTAATAAACACACATTCATTTCCATTTATTAGCATATGGAAAAATAGAGCCAAATTTGGTTTTAGAATTAGTAGAGGTATAGGTCACTATGCCTTTTTGCTTTGCATACAAGAGTTTGAATCTCTTGATGAAGGGTACCATTCAACAGAACACAAAACACATTTCTATTCAGTTTGCTCTCTGAATTTACACA